CTTTGGGGGGGGTTGGAGTCTCACTGTCGCCCAGGCTGGAGTACAGTGGCACTTTCACAACCGCTGCAGCCTCGGCCTGCTGGGCTCAGGTAACCCTTCTGCCTCAGCCTTCCAAGTAGTTTTAAATACAGGCATGTGCCACCACGCCTGACTACTTTTTTGGATTTATTGTAGAGATGAGGTCTCGCCAAGTTGCCCAGGCTGGTCTTGAATCCTTGGGCTCAGGCAATCCTCTCACCTCGGCCTCCCAAAGTGCTGGGACCATAGGCGTGAGCTACCACATCAAGGGGAATGAGTTTCTCCTAATCTTAGAAATGGGGCTGCTGATATCTAGGATGGAAAAGCCACCTAAATAATGAGGTATGAGTTCAACTCAAAACACCAAAGAATTTTTAATATTTTTGGATGAATGGAGGGAATAGCTTGCCTTCCTTCCTTCCTTCCTTCTAGTCTCAACCGGGCCACCACAGCCTCAACCTGCTGGGCTCCAGCGATCCTTCCGCCTCACCCTTTCAAGTAGCTGGAACTACAGGCGCGCGCTACCACGCCCGGCTAATTTTTTTGATTTATTGTAGAGATGAGGTCTCGCCTGCCCAGGCGGGTCTCGAACCCGTGGGTTCAGGCAATCCACTCACCTCAGCCTCCCAAAGGTGCGGGACTACAGGCTGAGCCACCGAGCCCGGCTTGTCCTCACACTTAAGTGGGTACCCTTGGTGCCCCAGGTGGGCAATTTCTATATTACAAGCAGATCTCATCTCCACCCATGATGAATCTTTCCATATTCCCGGAATTTTACATTTCAGGGTCTCGGGCCTCACATTCCTCATCTGTAAAATGGGAGTGACAGTACCTACTCCGTAAGACTGTAAAAAGAGAAGAGTTAACATGCAAAGCACTTATTTAACACTCAATTATTAGCTGTTGTGTTTTCAGACCTCCTTACATTGACTAGCTTACCATATTTAAGTAGCGGGGACACTGAGACCCCAAGTTTTTCTGCTCCTACAGAAATTTCCTCAGATCTGGGGAACTCCTTCTCACCCTTAGTTGTTCACATCTTAAGTTCCTCACATTGGGGAGTCATCGGTAACTGTGGCCTCCAGCACGGGCTTCCTTGTGCCCTTGAGCTGCTCCCAGTGACTCCCCTCCACAACACACAGTGTAAAGGCCAGACTCACAAGTCGAGAATTTCTCACACGTGGACCCTCACCCAACTTGATATCCCAAGTAGGGCACACTCCTCCATCCCCACTGACACCATACCCTCCTCCTCCCCAGGGTAGGCCCCTTTGCGAGTGACCACAAAGCTGTGGGGTTTTGCAGCGGGAACTGCTCTCATCCTTCCTGGACAGCGTGGGGTGCATGCCCTTGTAACCTCCCCACCCCTCACCAAGTGTAGCAGCCCCGCTGTGCCTCCAGCAGGAAGGGCACCCGGCCTGGCTCCCGGCCGAAGGGCAGCAACACCTGTGGCACGTTAAGCTTGTTGGCCAAGGCCTCAAGTACCAACAGAAGCAGCCACAGGAGACGGTGTAGAGGCCAGCAGAATAAGAGCCCGAAGCCTTGGCAACCTGGTGCCCCAGAGCCAGCCATGGCGACTATCGGGTCGCAGGTTCCCGCTCAACTACAGCCGCGCCCGCTGCCCCGTCAGCCAATCCACAGGCGTGACGTCACAGGAGGCGGGCCCTGCTGCTTGCTCAGAATTGTGGGTATTTTTAAACGCAGTCCTTCGGCAAGCCAACATCAGAGAAAATTTCGGCACCATCCCAGCTGTCTCCCTGACGGGCTTTCTAAAATATTGGACATCAGTTTTTTGTTGATAATGTCTCGCCATATTGCCCAGGCTGGTCTCAAACGCCTGGCCTCAAGTGATCCTCCCACCTTGACCTCCCAAAGTGCTGTAATTTCCGACGTGAACCACCGCGCCCGGCCAGGATTAAGGAACATGCAGAAAATCCCTCCCCCACAAAAATGACTAATCTTTCCCAGTTTAATTTCTCTTTATGTCACTCAACATGTTTGGCTCCTTAAAAAAAAAAAATTTTTTTTTTTTTGCAATAATTTCCAGTCAGCATCGGTCCATGTCTATATATGGAAAATTTTGCATTCTCTAGTATAAACAGCTGGACCCTGTCAAGGAAGCTGTGCAGTTTTTTACTAGAAGTCAGATTCATGTCTGGCCACCAGGCTAGAGTGAAGGAAATGGCAGAGACCGGCGTCCCAAAGGCAGCTTTGAAAACTATCCACTCGGCCGGGCTCGATAGCTCAGCCTGTGATCCCAGCGCTTTGGGACGCCGAGGTTTGAAAACTATCCACTCGGCCGGGATCGATAGCTCAGCCTGTGATCCCAGCGCTTTGGGACGCCGAGGTGAGTGAATTGCCTGAGCCCGTGGGTTCGAGACCCGCCTGGGCAACTTGGCGAGACCTCATCTCTACAATAATTTAAAAAATTAGCCGGGCGTGGTAGCGCGCGCCTGTAGTCCCAGCTACTTGGAAGGCTGAGGTGGAAGGATCAGCAGAGCCCAGCGAGCTGGAGGCTGCAGTGGCTGGGAGCGTGCCACTGCACTTCAGTCTGGGTGACGGAGTGAGACTTCAAATAAAAAAAAAACACAAAAAACAACTATCCACTCATATAGCCTGCCTCTAAGTCAATACTCTGAGGACACTTCTCAAATTTTCTCCAACTGTCCAACAAAATATTAACTATAAGATTGTTTCAGGGCATTTATAGGAGCATAACATATTGTTTCAAAAGCATAATAGGCTGGGCGCGGTGACTCAAGCCTGTAATCCCAACATTTTGGGAGGCCAAGGTGAGAGGACTCTCTGAGCTCAGGGGTTCAAGACCAGCCTGGGCAACTTGGTGAGACCTCATCTTTACAATAAATAAAAAAATAAGGTGGGTATGATAGCATGTGCCTATAGTTCCTGGTACTTGGAAGGCTGAAGTGAAAGGATCGCCTGAACCCAGCAGGAGGTCGAGGCTGCAGTGGCCATGAGCATGCCACTGCACTTGAGACTGGGTGACAGAGTAAGATGCCAAAAAAAAAAAGCATAATAAATTCATTTTTATATGAAAGCATTGGTTGTTTTTTGTTTTTTTGGGTTTTTTTTGAGTTTTTTTGGGTTTTTTTTGAGTCTCACTCTGTCGCCCAGACTGGAGTGCAGTGGCTGCTCCCGGCCACCGCAGCCTTGACCTGCTGGGCTCCAGTGATCCTTCCACCTCAGCCTTCCAAGTAGCCAGAATTACAGGCATGCGCTACCACGCCCGGCTGATTTTTTGATTTATTGTAGAGATGAGGTCTCGCTGCCCAGGCGGGTCTTGAACCCGCGGGCTCAGGCAATCCACCCACCTCAGCCTCCCAAAGGCATGGGATTACAGGGTGAGCCATCAAGCCCGGCTGAAAGCATTGGTTGTAAAGAAAAATGTATAGGTCAGCCTGAAGATGCCAGTGTTACATAACCTATGTATAAAAGGCCTCTAAATCTTCACATTTACCCTGACAATACACACCATTTCCATTTTATAGATGATGAAACAAAACATTTGCTCCATGTTAAATTCTGTTGCTACCCACCCACAAAGATCTGATGTTTAAACCAATACTCAAAGCTTCTGTGGAAAAAGCACATTTGGTATAATAAATAAAACCCAAATAGGTCTGAGAGAGGGACTGGTTCTTTATTTCAAAAAGACACTTATCAATATGCAGTATCAAAACAGGTACACTATTGGTTTCTCTTTCTCCCAATCGGCCCCAAAAAGACCACACCAAAGGAGAGTAAATTTTAAGTCAATAAGCTGCAGGATGTACACCTAACAGACTTCATAGAAACCTTACCAAAAAGTGGGGACTGGGAAGGGAAAGAAACTTCAAAGATCAGCACACTGCCAGCCCACAAACTGTAGGCTCTCACAGCCAGATGGGGTGGCCAGGGCACCCCAAACCCAAAGAAGCAAAGTTTTAAAATAATATAAAATTTAAAAAGTTTTGTACATAAGCTATTCAAGATTTCTCCAGCACTGGCTGATACAAAGCACAATGAGATGGCACTTTTAGAGACAGCAGCTTCAGACCCCAAAAAGGGTAATGAGATGAGTTTCATATGGCTAAATCAGTGGCAAAAATCATAATTTTCTTTCAAAAATGCAGAGAGCAATTAAGTGGTCACCTCAACATAATGGCATGTGATCCATTCTGTGAGTGGTTGGGAAGGGGTACACATAGTCAGAAATTTGGTCTCAGAGGTCTTACCATCTTAATTTGG